CTTCCTAAAATGTGGAAGTGGTTTTGGAATTGGGTAATGGGTGAAGAATGGACAAGTTTTAATGGTGTCCTGGTATAGTGCTGTAGGATAAGCACAGGACTGCTAACTGTAAGGTTCAAACCCACCAGCTGCTCCTTGGGAACCCTGTACTGTATAAGGTTGATATGAGTTGGAACAGATTCGACAGCACTTAATAACAACAATTGTAAAAGCCAAAGAAACCCTGGTAGTGCTATGGGATGAGTGTTGGTCTGTTAACTGTAAGATCAGTGGTTCCAACACACCAGATACTGTGAGGTAGAAAGATGAGGCTGTCTACTCACAAAAGCTTTATAGACTTGGAAATCCTACATAGAGTCACTATGAGTTGGAACCAACTTGACGACAGTGGCCTGTTTTTGTTTTGTTTCAGTTTTTTTTTTTTTTTTTTTAATAGTAAAAGCCTTGATTGACTTGAAGGAATCTAGACTTCAAAGACAATTCTGATGAGGGCACAGAAGAAAGTGAGGAGAGCTTAGAGAAAGTCTTTCATTTCAGAGAATACATATCACACCACCAGCAGAATGTTGCTAGAATTGTGAGTGAGACTGTAAAAGAAAATAATGAACTTGTGATTGGAAAATGGAGGAAAGTGATTATATTTTTTTAATGCAGCTGCAAAGAACTTGTCTGAACTATGTTAAAATGTTTGGTGGAAGGTAGAACTTGTAAATGTTGTACTTGAATATCTGGCTGATGAGATTTCTAAGCAAATGATAAAATGCGTAAGATGTGAACTTAAAAATGAACAGTGCACTTTCTCCGGGGACGCTGTGTAGAGGCACTCAGAATGGCCCAGAGTTTGACATACTGATGTAGGCTGTCCTACAATGCAGTGTTTTACAAAACTGCGCTGTCCTGAACCCCTGGTAATAGGATTGTTTACTTCTATACCAAGAATGTTGGTAAAGCACCAAAATCTGCATGCAGTGTGTGCCCATGCCAACTCTGAGGGGTCCATGTTGTGGACCTAAAGTTCTCATGAGCTTGTCCAAGACAAAGAAACATGTCAGCAGGACCTATGGTATTGTGCTAAATGTGTCTGTGACAGGATCAAGCATGTTTTCCTTATTGAGTAGCAGAAAATCATTGTGAAAGTGTTGAAGGCACAAGCACAGAGTCAGAAAATGAAATAAAAAATAATGGAGCTTTTTGGAACAGTAATTAAAAAAATGAATGGTGCAAAATGGAAGCAGAACTTAAAGATTTGGAAATTTTGTTGTATAAACTAAGGAAATATGTCCTAGAATATTCACCAAAGATGTGGCTACACAATCTTTTGTTAAAGAGATTAAGCCTATGACTGATGGGTCTAACCAACTACTACAACAGAAAACTCGTCAGTTTAGAATGAAGGGGTCACAAACAGGATGAAAAGAAAGAAAATTGTACACCTCTTGGAATTCTACAGGCAGGAAGCAGGTCAAAGGAGCTACATCTGTTGTCCTCCAAGAAAAGAAAAGAACCATCCATGGATCAGTAGAACTATTGGAAGAAGCATGGGACACAGGATCTTCCTTCTCAGTTTCAAAGGGTGCCCTCCTAGGTCTCAAATAATCAGATCTTCACCAGTTAGGTTCCAGAGTGTGGGGCGGCCATTAAAGGATGCTAAGGGGATAGAGGAGTACTGGTGGGGCGCTATGGGTTAATGCGCCAGACTGCAAAGCCGTTTGGACCTCAAGGTTGGCGGTTCAATCTCACCAGCTGCTCCTCGGAAACCCTATCCAGGGTCGCTATGGGTCAGAACTGACTTGATGGCACTTAACAACAACAACAACAACAAAAGGGGGATGGAGCCATTGTCTATAGCTGAGGGATTGGGCTGTAATAACCAGTGGGTAGAAAAATTGAATCTGCCAGCACCAAGGGGATGGGGTTGCCACTCAAATGGACTAAGAAAATGAGACCAATGCCTAAAACCAAGGGAACAGAGTGCTGTCCCAGGGGGCCTGGAAGATGTTGCTGAAACCTGAGGACAAGGTGCAGAAGCTCAAGAGACAGGAATCGTCCTGAACCAGCCACAAAAGAAAGTTTTCTCTAGAAACAGCACCCTGAATTTAAATTTCTAGCTTTCTAAACTGTGAGAAAATAAATTTCTTCTTGGTCAAGCCACCCATTTGTGGTGTTTCTGTTATGTTGTCATTGCTAACTGCCATTGAGTTAGTTCTGAACCATAGAGACTCTGTATAGGGTTTCTAAGGAGTGACTGTGAGCTTGAACCACTGACCTTGCCATTCAAACTGACCTTGCATTAACCTACAGTGCCACACCAGAACTCTTGTTTCTGTTATAGGAGCACTAAATAACTAATGCACATATGTGTGTGTGGTATGTGCTTGTGTGTAGTTACCAAAAACATGATCATATTATATTTATTGTTCAAACTCTGCTCTATTTAATAACAATAATCATTACTGGGCATTGAATTAGGCAGAGAAGGTACAGGTATCGGTTCAATTCATCTTTACATCATTGACCAAGGAAAATAAGGCTTAGAGAGCTCATGGCAAGAATTCAGATTTTGGACAGTCAATGTGTGGTCACCACTAGGCACTACACAGGTTTTTGAGGTTCCAAGGATGGCTGCTGTAGTGGGGAGGCAGGATGCTGAGGAAGAGAGAAATGGCTAGAAAGTTTGTGACTGGAGGCATGGGGTGCAAAAGAAGCCCCAGGTTTTGGGGACTTGTCAGGAAACCAGAAGACGTTGGGGTTCCTAAGGTGACTGGGGGGGGGGGAACCAGTGGGTCCAAGTCCCTCCTGGCCTGCATTGATGTCCCCCCTCTCGTTTCTCCTTCCCCAGGCGCCAAGACACCCGAGGCCCTTCGCTTCCATGCAGAGACCAAGGGCACGCAGGTGAGTCTGGAAACGCAGCGTTGCATGGCCCGGTGTCAGGCCACGTTCCATGGCGGCATCGTGTTCAGCCAGCAGTCGTTGAAGCCTGGCGAATGTGTGGCACTGCGTGTGTTGCGTGACGAGGACAGATGGTGCGGCGACCTCCGCGTGGGCTTCACGCGCCTGGACCCCGCTCGCGTGCCCGCGCCCAGCCTGCCGCCCTTCGTGTGCTCAGACCTGGAGGAGCAAAGCCAGACATGGGTGGCCGTGCTGCCCGAGCCGAGCCGAGGCCAGGTTTTTGCTAAAGTCAACTCAGGACCCTGGGTCCTGCTGCGCAAGGGTGTACTCATGGGCACCCCTCTCTGGGCCGTGATGGACATTTACGGGACCACTAAGGCCATCGAACTGCTAGGTAAATCAACCCTCTGTGAGCTAGGCACCACTCCCGAAAGTGTAACCTAACCCCACCCCAGAGCCTTAGGAAGTCCCATTGATTTTCTCACATTCTGCCAGCTATTCCATCTCTGGTAGCGTAGTGTTTACGAATCGGGCTGCGAACCTTAAGGTCAGCAGTTTGAAACTACCAGCCGCTCCACAGGAGAAAGATGAGGCTTTCTACTTCCATAAAGATTTACACCCTCGGAAATCCTGTACAGGGTCACTATGGGTCAGAACCGACTCGATGGCACTTAACAACAACAACAACAACAACATTCCATCAATCCTTGCCCAGTGTCAGGTACAGAAATGGGTGAGCAGATACCAAATAAACAAAAGTAGTCATGGGGATGTGTGTGCTCCCAATGGATGATAAAAAGATCAGCAAAGTAAGTATCTATTGAAAGACTGAGCACATCTCACAAAGGAAGAAGACTTTTTTTTGGGCTTTGCAGTCCAAGTAGGAGCTCATTAGGAGCCAAGGATGTGATAAACAAAGTGAAAGGTTTTAGAGGCTCAGAAGAGGACTGCCTGTGGGGAAAGGGAGCCATGAGGTCAGTGACTGGGAAAATAAGATTCATCCCTCTGTCCACTCAAGAGGAGAGTAGATGTCTGTGGAGCTGGAGAAGCAGGGAACACTCATTAAAAGAAAGAAGAACATTTCTAGTCTGGAGGTCCATGGGCCTACCCAGGGATTTTGTTTTTAAAATCATTACAGCTGCAATACCTGATTTCTAAGTCTCTAATGGGACCAGCTGTTCCACAGGAGAAAGATGAGGCGTTCTGCTCCTATAAAGATTACAGCCTCAGAAACCCTGTACAGGGTCGCTATGAGTCTGAATTGACTCCATGGCACATAACAACAGCAACAACAACAATGGGACCCAAGCCTCTGTGTATTGGATGAAAGAATTCCTTCTCAAGGGAGTGGATCCACATCTGGGTTTGGGGGTGTAGGTGATGCTGAGGATCTCCACAGTGGGGCCCACGAAGGGGAAGGAAAGGAAAGGCCTCATGAATTCAGGCCTTTGCTGGGTTTTGCGGGGAAAGGGATGGCCAAGGCAGAACCCTAAAACCAGCGAAGCACTCCAGCTCAGAGCCCCAGAAAAGAAAGGAGATGGACACCTTGCCTCAGGGGTCAGGCAGGATGGGAGCACCTGGGTTTGCTCAATCCATGCACTGAACTTCTTCTCTCTACCATAGACCCCATGGCCAACCCACCACCAACCACCACACCATGGACCCTCAGTGACAATGTTCTGCTTAGGCCTGAAGGTGAGTGACATCACTGAGCATCAGGAATTCCCCAAGACTCCAACACAGGAATTATGAGATTTTGAGTGGTCCAGGACCCTAGGTGCTTGGCAAAGTTCCAGGAAAGTTTCCAACATGGTCCAGATTCACTGACCTTGGGCCAAAAGATAAAAACCTAAAAGCAATATAGCAGCTCTTCCTTCACTGCTAACTTTATATTGTTGTTGTTAAGTGCTGTTGAGTCAGTTCTGATTCCTAGTGACCCTGTATAGGGTTTCTGAGGAGCAGCTGGTGATTTTGAACTGCTGACCTTGTGGTTCAAACTGACCTTGTGGTCCATTATACCATAGCACTTCATCAGGATTCTAACTTTACATTACTGGAACACAGTTATGATGACTAAATAATCTTGTTCAGTGTCTGCTTTAATGTGCAACCCACACTTATTATAAAAGCTTTGCTAAGTAGAAATGAATGAAACATTACCAAAGTCTCAGAGAAGAAACTAGTCCTCAGGACATTATTCTACATGAACCATGAGACCTGAAGAGCTACACAGTGCTCAGCTACCACTATCATTTTGGTTAGGGTCGCAATAGATGGACCTGGATATAATGGGAGAAAATTGCAAAACAGAACTCAAATTCTTAAAAAGTCTAGACTTCCTGGACCAGTTGAGACTGAAGTACTACTCTCTGAGATGATCACCCTGAAATAGTCTTTAAACCTTGAACTAAAACTATCTCCTGAAGTCACCTCGTAGCAAAATAACAAATTGGCACACAAAAATAAAGGATTCCATTTAAAAACCATCTTAGGAGACCATAAGGTCAACAGTTACTTCTAAAGGAAAGATGAGAAGACAAGGGAATAGGGAAACTAGAATATTGTAAAGGTAACCACCAGAAAGCAATGAATGAAAATGTTGGCACTTTGTAGAAAATATAACTAAGTCACTGAACAACTTGTATGGAGATTGCTAAACGGGCACCTAATTTGTTGTGCAAACTTTCACAGAAAACATACTAATTTTTAAAAAAATTAATTAGTTAAATATTATAAAGGTTAAAATAAAAATCTGCCCATTATTCCCACGCCCAGAGTTAACCATTACCTTGTAGGTAGATTTCCTTCTAGTATTTTTTAGTCATAGATATTGTTATTGTTGTTGTTAGGTGCCATCGTGTCGGTTCAGACCCATAATGACCCTTTATAGGGTTTCCAAGGAGAAGCTGGTGAGCTTGAACTGTCAACCTTGCAGTTCAAACGACTTTGCAGTCGAGTGCATTAACCTATAGTGCTACTCCAGGACTCCGCAGTCACAGTGCTACATAGTGCTACACCTGGACTCCGCAGTCATATATATAGATGAGAGATTTTTTTACATTTTGTTTTCCTTTTTCCTAAGTTGGAATTTTATGATAGGTTTTTGTTGTTGTTAAGTGTCATACACTTAGTTCTGACTCAGCGACCCTGTATAGGGTTTCCAAGGAGCAGCTGGTGGGTTGAACCACTGATCTTGTGGTTAGTAGTCTAGTACTTATCCTACAGCACCACACCAGGACTTATGATAGATAGTTACAGATGAATATATACATATTATTTTTTCTATCCAATGTTTTTCATATTGTAAGCATTTTCTTGTGAGGCAAAATATTCTTCAAAATGCTAAGACTACAGCGTTCTCTGTCCTGCAGTTATTTCCTGAGTGCGTTGCCCACCCCTCATCCCCTGTGCCCCTGACCTGTGCTCTTCCTTTTTCCAGCCAGAGGAGGAGAGGAGTGCACCATCTGTTTTGACCACACCACCAACACCCACCTTCTCCCCTGTGGCCACTCTCACTTCTGCAACTCCTATGCCTGGAGGGTCTACATGGACACGGACAAGTGCCCAGTATGCTGCTGGGAGATCGAGGCTGTGACACTGGTGAAGGACCCTCTTGCTCTGAAATCTGAGAAAGGCTCATGAGCAGAGGCCCCCCCAGTGTGGGTGGTAGATTGGACCTGGCCCTGAGCCTGGCCCCTGCAGGGGAAAGGAGTGCAGTCCTGCTCTCTTTCTAGAGAAGACTCATGAAGCATAGCCACCAGGTGCAGCAAAGAGAAGAAGGCAAGAGAAGCAATGACCATATTATATTCCTTATCCCTCCACCAGCTGGTGGTTGGAGTGGGGCTAGTGGAGCAAGGAGGAATCCCCTTTTCTGCTCAGTTCAAAACTATCCTGACCTGTGAGAAGAAAGTGCCTTCAGCAATGGGCCAACGGACTTAGGTTCCCTCTGTGTAACTTCAAATTCATCTGTGCCCAGGGCTTGCCAAGACTTCTGGTTGGCTGGCTGGCACAGCCACCAAAGACCCAACAATTCCTGTACTCATAAGCTCAGATAATGAAAGTTGAGAGTCCAAGAACCTATCCTAAGAAGGAACTTTATTCAGAGAGGAGGTGGCGCGATCCCTCATTTTATAGCTGAGGAAGTTGAGGTATCTGCCTGAGTTTGCTGGAAGCCCTGAACACTCTGAGGTATTGAGGAACCTGGACCAAATGACAGGAGGCTTCTGGGTGGAATGTTTGTAGTCCCTTTGGAAGTCTGAGTCACCTCTAAGAAGTCCTCTGTAAAGTGGATCTGTTCCTCGCAGGCTGGTTGTACAATTCCAGTGAGATCATACAGCAGAACGTGATGAAACACATGAGAGGGGATTGTTGCCATTTTGGTTATTCCCTTGTTTGTATCTCCAATATTAAAACAAAGTCTGACTTTTGTGAACGATATTCTAACAGATGTAGCTCCTTTGTTGCAGTTAGTGGGAGGGGATGAAACGGAACTGATCAGTATGCCAGACACTTGACGACCTGCCCTTCTGTCCTCTACACACACCTGAGCTAGCAGGTGGATTGGGTGGAGTGCTGAACCTTCGTGCTGATGGACTTTATTATGTTGAGACATGAAGAAGACAGTGGTACACTCCCAGCCCTCAAGTCTCAACAAGGTCTTACCCCTACCATCCTTGATTTTGGGGACAACTTGAAGGGTGGGGTTGACCTGGGAGGCCATTTAAGCAGGTGTTTGTGGCAGGGGTAAACTACACCTATTACTTTACAGTTGTCCCCTGCTCTGTGAATGGTGGGAAGGTGTCTCCCAAGGAAGAGAGTTATATATGAAGGGAGAGGGTTCAAACTGCTTGTTCTAAAAACTATAATGGGGATCACCTTCACAGACAACCTCCTTGCCCACTTGAGACAGCCCAAGGATCAGGGCCTGAGGTTTGATGATGCCAGAGATCTTTTGCTCTGGAGTGCTCTAACCTTGGGCATGTGGCATGAGAGTTGTGCATCTCTGTTTCTTCATCTGTAAAGTAGAAACAAGATCATTGTCTTTTTTGGTAAGCCATGAGAGTAATGAGTAGGAGATGTGCAGCTAGAGGAAATTCAAATAGTCTATACAAAGAAAATTTCAACTTCTGTTTCATATGGAAAATTGAGCACATATAATTGTTTCTCCTTACTCCAAGTCTTATAAATTGCTCAAAAGAGATCTAAATAAAATCATATCTCCTCAAGAAAATGATGTAGAGAACACATAGTAAAACAAAAACCATGATAAAAGATGAAAAACAGGTGGTATCAAATTAAAAATGAAAACCTTGGACCAACACTTGCACAGAGAGACTGGTGCAGAATGTGGGGGAGTAGTGAATGCTTCAGGTGCAGAAATGATGAACTAGGAGGAGGAAGGAATCTGTGGCTGACTGACCAAGAATGATTGGAGCATCACAGTAGGGCCAGCCCTGAATCTTCCCTTTGGCTGTGGCGGTGAGTCACAGAGGTATCTCAGAGGCTGGAATAGTGAGGGAGAGATCACATAGACAAGACTCTGACTTAGGAGAACACAAAGCCCCTATATCCAGAAGGCTAACTGTTGACTCTTACTGACCAATAATCCATTCCTTCTCATTCTCACTGTAAACAGGTGTAGCAGGGCTGCAGGAAAATGCGCTGGACCACAATGTCGGTTTGAACCACAAGGTGGGCAGTTCAAACTCACCAGATGCTCCTTGGGAAACCCTACTACAGGGACAATATGACCCTGGCAACCGTTAGGATGGCCTCAGGCCCTGAAGCCTGATACTGTAGAGAAGTGAGCCATGCAAACCTGAGTTCCTGGAGTACACCTCTGGAGATTTCCCACTTCCTTGCTACTGTAGGCTTCTCTGGGGGCAAGCTTGTTGTAGGTCCAATCATCCTAAGTCAGCTCCCTACTAGTTGGCTACCTGGCCCAGCATCTGCACACTGATACCTCTAAGCATCCCCCACCCCCATGGCCTGGCCCAGAAGAAGCCAGCCCCAAAAGGCCAAGAATTGCACTGAGTGGTCAGGAGAGGTCGCAGTGTGTGTCCTTGGAAGAGCTGAGACAAAAAGCTAGGGCTAGCTCCGCCCTCTTGTGCTGCTGTATTTTTGGGGTCCCAGGGAAGGAGATCTGCAAGCCTAATGGTTAAGAATTGGGCTGCTAACCGCAAAGTCAACCTTTGGAATCTCCCAGATTTGGGTGAAAGAGAGATGGGGTTTGTACTCCTGTAAAGATTTCAAGCCATACAAAATAAAATAAAGATTTAAGGCCTCAAAAACCCTGTAGAAGGTCATTATGATTCAAACCCGACTCCACTGCACATAATCAACTGCCAGGAAAATTTCTAGAAGGGGACTGCTTTTGCTGGGTAAGAAAAAGAGAGCTAGGGAAGCGGGTGAGTAGTGCTCATTTACAGAACAAAAGCCTACAGCACCTTATTTTCCCAGTCGGTCTCCCATCCAAGTAATAACCAAACCTGACCCTGCTTAACTTCCTAGCTCAGGGGCATTCAGGAAGGTGTAGACATAAGAGAGTAAACTCTGCCTTTTCTCTCACTAAGTAGCCTGCTTGGCGGGGTTGGGGCCTATGCATGGAATGGGACAGGGCCAGCAGGGAGAACCCAACAACACTTCTGGGCTTCCAGGTCATGTGGGAAGTGGGGCTCGCTATATGATGAGCACCAAAACCTAAAGAGGCCGGCCAGGTGCCTAGACTGGCAGAACAATGGGGAGTCGCCATTTTGTCCAGGTTCCGAAAGGTGGCTTGTCCCACCCAACATCTTGGTACACAGGGACTCTGCTCCATTCACCCCAGAATACATTCTTTTTGTTGTTGTTGTTTTAATGTGCCTTCGAGCATGTTCTGACCCGTAGCAATCCTGTATAGTGTTTCAGCAAAGCTGCTGGTGGACTTGAATCACCAACCCTGCAGTTCGAATGGCTTTGCAGTCTGGCACTTTTACCTACAGCACCTGGTCAGACACTAACTTGTCCAATGCTGAGAGAAACCACCCTCTGTCCTCCTGAATTCACCTCACAGCACCAGGACAAGTGGTCACCCCATCCCACCCCCTGGCAACCATGATGGCCTCAGGACCTTACTCCTGATGCTGTAGAGGACTGAGCCTTGTAAGCCTGAGTTCCTGGAGTACCCCTCCACAGATTTCCCACCTCCACGCCACTGTAGGATTCTCTGGGGGCAAGGTTGTAGTAGGTCCAATCATTCCTAAGTCAGCTCCCTACTAGTTGGCTACCTGGTGCAGCATCTGCACACTGATTGCTCTAAGCATCCACCATGCCCATTGCCTGGTCCAGAATAAGCCAGCCCCAAAAGGCCAAGAAGTGCACTGAGTGGTCTGGAGAGGTTGTAGTGTGTGTCCCTCGGAGTGCTGAGGCAAAAACTAGGGCTAGCTCCGCCCTCTTTAGCTGCTGTTTTTTTTTGGGGGGGGCCTAGGTAGGGAGCTCTGGCAGCCTAGTGGTTAAGAATTGGGCTGCTAACCTCAAAGTCAGCACTTGGAATCTCCCAGTTGTTGGGCAAAATAAAGATGGGGTTTTGTATTCCCATCAAGATTTCAAGCCCTAAAAAATAAAATAAAAATTTAAAGCCTCACAAACTCTGTAGAAGGTCGTTATGATTCGAACCTGACTCCACCACACATAACCAACCACCAGGAACTTTTCTAGGAGGGGACTGCTTCTACTGGGTCAGAGAAAGAGAGCAGGGCAGTGGGTGGGTAGTGCACATGTGCAGAACAAAAGCTTACAGCACCCTATTTTCCCAGGCGGTCTCCCATCCAAGTAATAACCAAACCCGACCCTGCTTATCTTCCTAGATAAGGGGCATTCAGGGAGGTGTGCACATAGAGAGTAAAGTCGGCCTTTCATCTCACTAAGTAACCTGTTTGGCTGGGTTGGTGCCTATGCACAGAATGGGACAGGGCCAGCAGGGAAAACCCAACAATACTCCTGGGCTTCCAGGTCATGGGGGCAGTGCAGCTGGCTATGGTGTTGAGCACCATAACCTAAAGAGGCCGGCCAGGTGCCTAGACTGGCAGAACAATGGGGATTCACCATTTTGTCCTGGTCCTGAAAGCTGGCTTGGCCACCCAATGTCTTGGTACACAGGTACATTGCTCCCTTCAATCCAGAATACGTTTTTTTGTTTTGTTTTGTTTTTGTTGTTTTAATGTGCCGTCGAGCATGTTCTGACCTGTAGTGATCCTGTATAGGGTATCCACTAAGCAACTGGTGGGCTTGAGCCACCGACCTTGCTGTTCGAATTGCTATGCAGACTGGTGCATTAACCTACAGCACTTGGTCAGAGTCTAACTTGTCCAATGCTGAGAGAAACCACCCTGTGCCCTCCTGAATTCACTCCAGAGTACCATGATAAGTGGTCACCCCACCCTACCCCCTGTCACCCATGAGGATGGCCTCTGGCTCTGATGCCTTATGCTGTAAAGGAGTGAACCTTCTAAGTCTGAGTTCCTGGAGTACCCCTCCAGAGATTTCCCACCTCTACATCACTGTAGGCTTCTCTGAGGGCAAGCTTGTTGTAGGTCCAATCATTCCTAAGCCAGCTCCCTACTAGATCGCTACTTGGTGCAGCATCTGCACACCGATTCCTTTAC